CCTATTTCCGTAGTGATACTGCCTCGGAAACCCAAGGAGGGGTCGCTATGAGTCGGGGCCGACTCGACGGCACATAACAACAACAACAACAACAACATCTGTGAGCATGGTATATTCTTCCATTTATGTAGGTCTCTTTTGGTTTCTTATAGTAGTATTTTGTAGTTTTCTTTGTATGAATCTTTTGTGTCTCTGGTTAGATTTATTCTTAGGTAGTTCATCTCTTGGGTGGTTACTGTAAATGGTACTGTTTTCCTGATTTTCTTTTCAGAGAACTGTTTGTTAGTACAGATTAGTTCAACTGATTTTTGTATGTTGATGTTGTATCCTTCCACTTTGCTGAATGTTTCTATTAGTTCCAGTTGTTTTCTTGTTGTGTCTCTAGTATTTTCTATGTATAAAATTATATCATCTGCAAATAGAGACAGTTTTACTTCTTTTTTTTTTGCCAATTCAGATGCTGTTTTATTTTTCCTTCCTTGCCTTATTACTCTGTCTGGGACATCCAATACAATATTGAATAGGAGTGCTGATAAAGACATCCTTTTCTGATTTCCATTCACAAGGGGAATTCTTCTTTACTTTTAAATTAATAAAGTCAATCTGCTTAATACTATGTCATGGACTTCATCAAGGAAGGGACTAATCTTTGTACACTCACCTCTGAGTCTGAAATATAGTAATCTCTCAACCAGTATTTGTAGACTCCTCCTTAGGTTTTCTTATAAACCCACTCCTCCTTTTCCAATTTCTTTAATAGCTTATACCACCACATGTAAATCTCAGCATCATTTTTACTCTTTTCCCTGGTCTCAGCTGAATCTCTCACAAGTTAGCAGGCCCTATGGAGTTTGCCTCTGAAATGTTTTTTGAGTCATTCTCCCTGTACCTCTTTGGCTTCAGATAGTCCCCATCTCTATCGTCATGATTAGTTGTCTCCCGGCTAATCCATCGTCTTCACATCTGCCATAAATTCTTTTCTCCACACAGTTCTGGTCATGGCGATATTTTGGATAACACTCTCAGCTGACTCCTTATTCTCCACAGATTACTATCCAGTCTTCTTAGCATGACCGCAGGTTAGGTGAAAACTATTTTCTGCACTGATTTCCCACCACTTCTTACCACATACCAAGCACTGAACATTTAATGCACAGTCATCTCACCACATCTTTGTTCATACTTTGCTGTACTTGGAACATATTTATTTCCTTTTTTCTATTTGTCAAAATCCTACTTGTTTCTGTCTTACCTCAGTAAAAATTAACTGCTCCCTGCAGAAATTTACCATCAGAGTCTTGTCTCACCTTAAGTAAATCCAGTTTATGAAAATCCAACTTTATGATAAAGTCGAAGAATTGTTTTAAAAAATATCCACAACATATTTCTTTAAATAAAAAGGTATATTTAAAATATAATTATATAGCAATTTGGTCTTCCGTATGAGTAAGAAATACTGTTTTAATATATACTCTTGTCCTTTAATGCGATAGAAATATAGCAAATAATTTTTAGATAATACTCTTGGATCAGTATACATTCAATGTGATCTATCATTTCTTTTATGTGAATAGTATTTCTTGATATTTAGCATGACAACCCAGCCAGATCAGAATACTCAAAACCAGATGTAGTTATTCACAATTTGATGGAATTAGTCATTGAAGGACAGTCAAAAACAGATTGGGAGACTGGTTAAGCAGTTCAGGGGAAATCCCAAAGCTGTACAATTTATTTGTCCTTGATTGGTTGTTGATTCAGCTGAGTCCCCATTTCTGTCAAGGGTCATAAAGAGGCTGGGATGAGATGAGAGATTGTGGACCAAGGTAAGGTTCAGATAGGAACCTTGTTCCAGGCTATAGTGTCTGTGGCAGTTAATGACGATTAATATCTATGTACTTTTCAGAACATTGAGCTGAAGGTTGAAGTAGAGAGCCTGAAAAGAGAACTCCAGGGCAAGAAACAAGAACTGGATAAAACATGGTAAGTTTTATTTTGAACTAGATAAGCTCTGGTCCTTTTTCAGAGAGTGGCTCACTAATCTGAGAACAATAGATTTGGAATCAAATTCCAAAAAGAATTTAGCTGAGTATCTTTCTTAATCACTCCTCTGGCATTTGAACTTATGTTAGTCAAAAAACAAACCAAACTCACTGCAGATTCGACTCATAGTGACCCCTCCTTGGTTTTCCTAGGCAGTATCACTACACCTTCCTGCGGAGGAGTGGCTGGTGAGTTTGAGCCGCCAGCCTTTTGGTTAGCAGTCAAATGCCTTAGGCACTACACCACCAGAGCTCCTTATATCAATCAGGAACTGAAACAATAGCTTTTCCTGTACTTTCTTGCGCTTAAGGAGCCCTGTTCATACAGTGGCTAAGCCCTCAGCTGCTAACCAAAATGTTGGTGGTTTGAATCCACCAGCCACTCCACCGGAGAAAGCTGTGGCAGTCTGCTTATGCAAAGATTTCAGCCTTGGAAACCTTATGGGGAAGTTCTACTCTATTCTGCAGAGTCACTATGAGTCAGAATCGACTCTACAACGTTTTGGTTTTCTTTCCTTTGGGCTCTCTGTTACTAAGTCAGATATATCATGCCAAAGATTGTTAAATTTACCAGACATAAGACTGTAAACTTTCCACTAACCAGCATTCAACTAACCAGGAACACAAATAGTTCTACTTTTAGTAGAAAGTGACAAATGCAAATAAGCTTTATCAGGGGTTAGCAATCAATAACTAATAATATCAAAGGCTAGCATAGAATTTGGGGATGATGGGCACTCATACACTGCTAGTGAGAGTGGGAATGTTGTTGTTGTTGTTGTTATGTGCCAATAAGTCGGACCTGACTCACAGCGACCCCTCCTTGGGTTTCCGAGGCAGTATCACTATGGAAGTAGATTGCCCCATCTTCCTTCCAAGGAGTGGCTGGTGGGTGTGAACCGCCAGCCTTCTGGTTAGCAGTCAAGTGCCTTAGGCACTACGTTACCAGAGCTCCCGAGAGTGGGAATAGTAACAATCATTTTGGTATGTAGTTCTGATTATTAAAGTTAAAAATAAACACAGCCTTGATCAAATAATCCTTAGGTGGAGTCTATCCTTTGTAAATAAAAGCACTAGTATGAAAGGGTACATGTATAATCATGTTTACTGCATCATTATTCATAATGGCAGTAAACTAGAAGTAACTTGAATGTCCATCAATAGGCACTAGTTGAATAAATTTTAGTATACCCATATTGTAGAATACTATGCAGTTATTAAAAAGAAAGCTCTATATTACTGTCCTGGCAGAAAGTCCTTGATAATTAAGTAAGGGGAAAAAGTGCTGAGTGATATTTACAGCATAAGTCCCTTGTGGTAGAAACAATCCTTTCTGTGTGTACATAGGTTTGCTTGATTTTGCATAAAAAAAAATTGGAGGGTTATATACCAAATTCTTTAATCTTATATCCATTAAAGGTAAGAGATTAGAGTTTGTGAGGGGAGAGGAGATTTGATTTTTTCTTATATATTTGTGCATTGTTAAAATGATACTTTTTTTTTATTTTATAGCTTTTAAATTAAAAAAAAACAACTTAATTTTAAATGAAAAATATTGCTATTAAAATTGTTATTAAAATAATTTTATGTTATCCTGGGATCAGTATAAATTAATCTGATCTGGCATTTCTTCCGTATCTATAGCATTTCTTGATATTTAGGATGACAACCCAGCAAGACCAGAATACTCAAAACCAGACACAGTTATTCACAATATGCTGGAATAAGTGAACACCTACTAAGGCATTAAAATGAATTAATAGATTTTAGGAAAACTTATAATTAAGTAACAGATTTTGATACTTTTGTAATGCTTCTTTAAAAAAAAAAAGTCTTCTCAACTTTGAATTGAGTGCTTTTATCCTTATTTTTACAAATGGGAAAACTAAGGTACAAAGATTTAAAATCTTCTCAAATAAGTGGTAGAGCCCACGGCTTCTGGTATCAAATTCAAAGCTCTTTTGACTTCACAACAGCTGTAGCCTCATAAATCATGGGTTCCTAGTTAACTGACATGTCCCCAAAATGAATAATCCCCATACTCTAGAGATTCTAGTTAGCAGTTATTTATTGCACTTTTCAGGGAATATGGAGTGTTAAAACATTTGGCTGCTAACCAAAAGGTTGGTGGTTCAAACCCACCAGACATTCCGTGGGAGAAAGATGAGGCAGTTTGCTTCCATAAAGATTCACAGCCTTGGAAACCCTCTGGGGGTATTTCTATTCTATCCTGTAGGGTTGTTATGAGTCAGAATCAACTTGACAGCAATGGGTTTATGGAGTCAAATTTGAAGTTAAAGACAGTTCCTAAAGTCTGCTGATTTAGCATTCTAGAGTTATTCCCTTGACCAAGGCCCACCAATTCCCCAAAGGCTGTATAATAACAAGAGATAAATACAGCCTCTGGGATGAGTCTGAATGTGTCCATGGTCAATGAACAAATCCGGTACTCTTTAGGGAAGCTCCATTTGGTAGCCATGGACACAACCTCCTGAGCCAAATAGTAAAGTTCCACAGGGCTTGGATAGAGCAGCTTTGATTTATCCTGTGCCTACAAATGTTCAGTATTGTTCTCTGTCCTGAGAATAAGAAGATGGTCCATGGATCCCAACAAATGGTTTAAAACAGCAATAAAATTAAACCGGAATTAAGATCATTCAGCTCCTGATACTGCCCCAAAATTTCTAATCCTCAGACATCCAAGGGCAGCTGTTCTTAGCTATAAATAAGTTGGTGATACCTGACCCCCTTGATGCTAGTGCCTGGATACTCATTCCTAGGGACACCAGAGAAGCAAGGCTTAGCCAGAACCATGAGCTCCCATAGATGAAATGTCTATTCTCTACATAGGACCAGGGGGACAACTGTAGAACTCTGGATAGATAACCCAGATTCAAGACACTATGTTGAATAACAACATGTATTGTTGTGTGCCATTGAGTCAGCCCTGACTCATAGCAACCTGTCCTTGGGCTTCTGAAGTGGTATCACTATGGAAGTAGATTGCCCAACCTTTCTTCTGAGGAGTGGCTGGTAGGTTTGAACCACCAGCCTTCTGGTGAGCAGTCAAGTGCCTTAGGCACTCTGCTGCTATTGAATATTACTGTAAAGGAGGAGAGCATTTCTGTGGGTGTCCAAATGAGTATCCTGTCCCAGCAGACTAAATCGTAGGGACACTTTAAATTCAAATAGTAAAAAAGGCAAGGAACTAGCAAAACACTTTGGAAGAGCAGTCTAAAATGAAAAATCCATTGAACATGCTGAATTCTCAACCACTTACTTGATGCCTACTTGCCTTCCAAATGAACATCCTTCTCTTCAAGCTGTAGCAATAATGAAACCTGTAGGGAGACTAATATATTCTGATTGGCAAGCAACAAAAAACCAGAGTTTCTAAAAGATTGCCAAAAGAGGTTAGAAAGAGGGATACCACAGATAATTACGGAGAAAAAAAGACTTCCTTTTTCTTCTCATCAGTGTGATGCTGAGTACTGAAACCACCTCACTGGGTCCATTTGCTACTTGTATGTCTGGCTGTGACTGGCTAATGTGCTGTGGTTTTAGGGCTGATGGGGAGAATCTAAACAACCATAATGAAGCTGAGCTCCGGCGCCAGTTTGAGGAGAGACAGCAGGAGACAGAGCATGTTTATGAGCTCTTAGAGAATAAGATCCAGCTTCTGCAGGAGGTGAGTTCCAAAGGACCAGGGCTGGGGGCCCTCTTTTATCCCTTTCCCTACTGCCCTGCCTGCTGCCACTCATCTTTTCCCTCCCTATTTTTCTTCCCAAACTCAACACTTTTTCCCAGGCTTTAGGGCTTAATTTAACCTAAATGTGGACTTTTCAGCCTCTCACTGTTCATTTGTTTTGCAGGAGTCCAGACTAGCAAAAAATGAAGCTGCACGAATGGCTGCTCTGGTGGAAGCAGAGAAAGAGTGTAACCTGGAGCTCTCAGCGAAACTGAAAGGTGTCACCAAGGACAGGGAAGTTGCACCTGGAGACCAGATCAAGCATGAACAGTACACTGAGGCCCTGGCCGACAGGGACAAGTAAGTGCCTTGGGTGCTCCATTTGTCACTTTTCTTTTGCCTATTCTTGAGATAAACGAGAGCATACAACAGCCACAGTTCCTTTTAAGGGCTTAACATGGAGCCATCACCATTTCTAAGACTTTATGGCCCCTACAACCAAAGATTTTCTTTTCAAGGTTCAATCTTTGGTGGTGTCCATGAACAGAACTTACTTCTGGGCAGTCAGGAACCTTGCTGTTGTTGTTATGTGCTGTTGAGTCGGACCCGACTCATAGTGACCCCTCTTTGGATTTCCGAGGCAGTATCACTATGGAAGTGGCTTGCCCAACCTTCCTTCAGAGGAGTAGCTGGTGGGTTTGAACCAGCCTTCTGGTTAGCAGTCAAGTGCCTTAGGCACTATGCTACCAGTCTGCTTTTAGAATAATTCAATTCAACCAACTACCTTTGGACACTGCTGAAATTTTTCCAGATCTGGATCTGAAGTAATTCCAGGAAAACTGGGCAATATTCTTAGGGAAAAATTCAGGCTTAGGTTTATATTAATTCTCTAATACAGCTAGCTTTTTTATATGACAAGCTGGGGCAGGGAAAGGGGTGGTTAGGACAATACCAAATAGTTGTTTGTTTCAAGAAGTATCCTTGATAAACAGAGGACATTTAAATTATATAATTTTTCTAATTTACACTAAGAAAAAAGTGAGAGGAAAAATAAGAACAAAATCCCACCTGATGAGCCAGATGGCCTCTGACCGTGGCCAGAGCAGCATATTAGGGCATGGTCTGGTCACAGTTCACTCCCACGAGGTCCAGCGCCCCCAGCATCTCCAGGCTGAAGCCACTGAGCCATTGCTTGGCATTTTCATTGAACCTCAGCGCTGTTGACTTGAGACCAATGGGTGCATCATCTCTTTGGTCTTGATGGGCATAGAGAGTAGGTATAAGTAGGACAATGAAATGGACAAATAGTGTAAGCAAGAGATGTGGATTCATTTATTCAGCAAATATTTATTGAACACCTATTATATGCCAGACATCATGCTAGGCACTAAGGTTATAGAGATGAAAGACACAATTTCTGTCATCAAGGAACATGCTACACAGTTGTAATAAGTTCTTTGATACAAGTTGCATGGGTTGCTCTGGGGACATAAGGATGGTTACCTATTCCAAACTAAAAGAGCAAGGTGTCATTGGAGTTTTCCTGGAGGAAATGAAATCCAAGCTGAATCTTGAAAAATGAATAGGAGTTATATGAAATGGAATAGGAAGTGGATGGGGAAGGGAAATGTTCCTTGCAAAAGGAGAAACCATGAAGGTGAGGCGCAGGGAAGGGCATATTCTGAGAACTACACGTATTCTATATAATTAGAACAGAGGATCTGGGGAAGACTAGTGAGAACTTGAACTGGGGGCAGGGGTGTTATTATACCGGCTTTGTCCACCATAAGAACCTTGAGTTTTGTCCTGAAGGTTGGAAGCAGTCGAAAGATTTTAAGCTGGAGAACAACATGATCAGATTTGTGTTTGATTATTGTAGAAGCATTAAATAAAATGAAGTGAAATGGAGTAAGTTGAAGACAGAAAGACTAGTTTAATCAACCATATATACTAAACATATATTAAATAGTAGGAACTCTGATAAACACTAGGAGACTTAATGGAGATCCTAGTGTAGTGGGAGAACCTCCCCCCCAAAAAAAAGCAACAGATTCACTGCCGTTCAGTTAATTTGACTCACAGCAACCCCTCCTTGGGTTTCCAAGAAAGTATTTCTACAGAAGTAGATTGCCCAGTCTTGCTCCTGAGAAGTGGCTAGTGAGAGAAATATATCTGTAATATTCTTGTTTAATTCTACTAACAACCCTGTGAGACAGAAATTATGTATTATACTTATTAAATGAAAAAACTGTAGTGTAGATAGCTGTGTAAAATGGTTACAGGCATTCCTGGAATCCAAATCCTGAATCTTCATTGCCTCTAGAAGCATATGATGCTATTCTGGTCTCCAGATTTTGCTCATGTTCTTTCTTCTGTGAGAAACATCTACTATCTTTTTCCTTTCTAATGAACTCCTATTTAGTCTTCAAAACTCACTAAGGCATCAGTTGTCACCTCTGTGCAGGCTTTTATGACAGCAGACTTAAATCTCTGTACTGTTGCTGTAATTAATTGTATGTATGCCTGTTATTGACAGTTCTTAGGGTGGTATTGTATTTGCTTTCAAATCTTTTCTGAAGGATTCCCTAAGACTTTGTACCTTCATAAACAGTTGTTGTTGTTTTAAGCCACTGAGTCGATTCTGACTCTATAGCACAGAGTAGAACTTCCCAAAAGCGTTTCTTAAGCTGTAATCTTTACAGGGCAGATTGCCAGGTTTTATCCCATGGATTAATTGGTGGGTTCAAACCACTGACTTTTCAGTTAGCAGATGAGCACTTAATCATTGTACCACCAGGGCTCCTTAATAAACACTTGTTAAACTGAAAAACCAGAACCAGTAATAATAATAATAATTTTTTAAATGTATACCTGACCAACTAAATGAGGGAGTTCATATCAGATGGCCTTGACCAATTTTGGAGAATAGGAGACTAGATCATCTCTAGAGACTGAGGGGAGCTCTGGTGACATAATGGGTAAAGCATTCAGCTGCTAACCAAAAGTTTGGTGGTTCAAGCTGCACTGTGGGAGAAAGATGAGGCAGTTTGCTTCCATAAAGATTTACAGCCTTAGAAACTCTGTGGGGCAGTTCTCCTCTGCCCTATAGGGTCACTATGAGTCTGAATCCACTTGATGGCAGTGGGTTTTAGAGACTGAGGGTCTAAGAGATGAGTAAGAATTGAGGCTTGAGAAGAGTAGAGACATTCTAGTGCAGATATTATGGGGAAGTTGATTTGGAGTCTACTGAATTCATGATCATTATTATTACAGCTAGCATCTCTGTAATGTTTTTGAGTTTTTAAAGTACTCTCTCACCCTGAAATCTTAACTGAGCCTCACACCCTAAATGAATTTATACTTTGTCTGTGAGATGCCTACTTGGCTTTCAGGTGTCCCTCACCTTTCTGTGAAGCTAATTTTTTCCCAAGGTGCCACAAGTATCTTACATACTTACACAGAAATAATAACCACCACAATTAGAAACATTTTGTCAACACATTTTCAAAGACCTAAAAGGTTTCTCTAGGACTCTGAGACATACTACCAGAGAAACAGCAAGATAGTAGTGTTGTTGTTGTTGTTGTTATATGCTGTCGAGTCGGCCCTGACTCATAGCGACCCCAAGATAGTGGTAGATGATCTATAATTCTTGACTCAAGCCAGTAGTTTTGCACTCCAGCACAACATGCACAGTCTTTGACAACTTAATCCTGATCAACATATCTGGCCTCTTCTCTAGCTATTACCCCCACTTCCCAGGCTTTATCCAGGAACTTCCCCAAACACACCTTGTTTTTTCAGGTCTTCATTTCTTTGTTCAAGTTCCTGTCCATGAACCTTGAAAAAAACCAATCTTCAAAATCTCTTCTCCTGAGCTCTCCAGAATCCTCCAAGTCAAATCAATCACTCCTTTATCTTTCTTCCCATAGCCCCATGATGGAACTCAGTGTACTTTACTATATGGTATATACATATATAAGCCCAGCTTACAGACTGAGACAGACTAGGAAGAAGGAAGAGGCCATCCACTTCTCAAAGAATTGGACAGGGAAAACCTTATGAATAGCAAAGAAACACTGTTTGATACATTACTGTGCAACTTTATGAATAGTCTGGTTAAGTTAGAAGGCTCTCAAAATAGGAC